TGGGCTCAAGCAATCCTCCTGCCTCAGCCTCCCGGGTAGCTGGGACTACAGGCATGCGCCACCATGCCCGGCTATTTTTTTTCTATATATATTAGTTGGCCAATTAATTTCTTTCTATTTATAGCAAAGACGGGGTCTTGCTCTTGCTCAGGCTGGTTTCAAACTCCTGACCTCGAGCAATCCACCCGCCTTGGCCTCCCAGAGTGCTAGGATTACAGGCGTGAGCCACCACGCCCAGCCCAAAATTATTAATATAAGCATTCTCTTTACACTGGCAGAAATAAGGCCTCATCAGTTTCCATCCACTCCATAAATTCTAAAACTTAAGTAATACGCACTAGTTCTACACACTTGACTTAAATACCTAGGTAATAGCAGAAATCAATTTCTTTTTAGAAGCTTGCCACCCTTCCCTAATGCCAGAGCAGATAAACATGAAAGTAATTTTGGAAAGATGGAAATATGAGTGAGTTCCTTTAACAATCTTGTTAAAAATGATCAATCAAGATTTTAACAATCTTGTTAAAAAAAATCCCACTGTGGGATAGCCTATTATATCAAGGTGCAATGCTGATTTATATCATCCTGAGAGTCCATTTAAAAGAAAAGTATATATTCTTGGGAGTGTGCAGCATTTGAGCTATTCACATTTTTGAAAGATACCAATGAGATAGTTAATAAGGATTAAGGTTTAGCATTTATGAAGGCTAAGAAAATAGGCCCTATTCTGCCAGGGCTAGTGCTTTGCAATAATCCTATGAGGTAGTTATTACCCCCATTTTACAGATGTGGAAAACTGTGGCTCTGATAAATGAGGCAATTTTGCCCAACGTCACATTACTAGTAAGTGTGGAGCTATCTTAATCAAAAGCCCATTCTCTTTTCACTGCACCAGTAATTTTTGCACTGGGTATTTTGGGGGCAAGAATGGGTGTACCAAGCAAGAAGGGCTTCAGGTCCACTATCATTAACTCAACCAAAAGTAGCTATATTTATCTGTTTTATGGGCTGGACATTTAAAAAAAATAGTTCCATAACTAACCCCCAAATTCAAACTACTGCACTGTCAGGCCGCCTCAATACTTCATTATTTTCCCCCACACAAACGAATTTTACTCAAAAGTACTTATACCCATATAAAACAAAGACCCTTTTTTTCCGCACAAAAGACCTCTCAGCAATTAATAAATTATATCTTTTTAGGCTATGCAGTCCAACTTTTATGACCAACTTTTAAATATATGATGTTATGTTTTCTGTAAGACTTCAAGATTCCATTTTTCAGGCAAGTATTTTTAAATTACAATGAAAACTGTCTATACTAAATGAATTAGTTCTACAGCACAACTTATGTTTGCCAATATAGATTATTTACACATCATACTTTTTTACCCTGTTAGTTATCACGCACTTTTTACCTTGCAACTATTGAAAAAGGACAAAACATTTTCCCCACTCCTTTTGCTTCCAGATGTTAGAGGTACTGACAAGTTAAAAGCAGCCTCAGTTTTCTAATTAAATTACAACATGAGGCAAGCAGCTTTACCTGGGTAATTACAGCACATGAATCTACCAAAGAACAAAACAAAATTCCATTTTGCTTCATTATCCAGGATTGAGAATAAAAGCATCTAACAAATTTGTCCCATGTATAAAAGGTACTAGAAGATCAAGTTAGAGAGGTAATAAAAAAAGGGAAATACATACTACTTAGTTGTTGTGTTGAATAATACACACCACAAATCATGGTTACTATTATTTATACAAAAAAGAATTTCTAAGCTCATTACTTTTCAGAAGGCAAAAAGTATCAATCTGTCATTGAAAATAATTTTCACTATTAGCAAAATAGGAAAAACTAAATCAATTTTCCTGAAACACATTAGCAAGGGGTTTTAGTTTTTTATATTTGTTTAAACAGTGTAGATGATGATTTGAAGAAAAGACCTTTGCTAAAAGCAGACAGCAATAGCAATCACAGCTATCAAGCCAGCTTCTTTCACAGAAAGTGGCCATTTCTTAAGTGTTAACCTGTTTGTGAAAGTTTCTTAGGACAGTCTTAGCATTCTGAACAGTCTACAATTCTACATATCATTTGTTGTAAATCTAGAGCAAAAAAATCAATAATAATAATAAAGGGAAGTGGAAAGCTTTTTTAAAAATAGCCTTGATCAGTCCAACAAATACAGTATTCAGAAACACAACAGAGAAACAAAGTCCTCTCATAAGAGTACAAAGTTATAGAACTTCTTAGAAATATAAACCTAGGAATTCCATTGTCTTGCTTTGAAAGACTGGCTTATTCATAACCGTGCCATAGACCAATCTGTTCTTATTATCTTTAAAATGTAGTTTTACATTCAAGTGACTGATTCATTTTCATTCAATTTAAGGAAAATGCCAGAAATAACAAGCTTTATTAAAGCAGTCTAAGAGGTTATGGTTCCATTCCAATTACAATACTATTGTGCAGAACATTACTGCTAGGAAACATGTGGAATACCTTTTTACAAGTAACCTCCTTTGAGGTGTGCTTGTGTTTGTTGAAGTTGAATCTGAGATTTGAAATCTGCCCAAACTCATCTGGATCAAAGATGGTGAACAAAATAGGTGATTAAGCTGGGTAGTTGTGGCTCAAATTAAGATGTGACTATTAAGAAACTCTACTTACCTTCTTGTGAAATTGAAAACTGACTTTAAAACAAATTCTAAACAGTACCAAGAGAGCTTCTTAAGTGGTTGCTACAAGTAACAATAATCATTTGAATGATTCATAAGTCTCACTTCTTTAGGTGGAAAATAGAAACACAAGGTAGGCCTGTGGCATCCTTTGCAATGCTCGATCTTTACAGACATGATCATACTTCCTATATACAAACAAAATAATTCCACACTACATTGTATCGGTAATGGGCATCTTATAAAATGGAAATATTGCACAATAGAGTGCATTTCCTTAAAAACAATCGCATATTAATTTGTTTCACCTAAAAACTACTACCGTTAAAAGTATAACAGAGCAAATGCAGAAGCCAGCTTCTGGATCCTTAATGATCACATTAATATTAATGGAGACAATTAATACTTATGTTACAGACTCACTTGTCTGCAGAATAATTCAAGATAAGTCAATATTTTTTAGACAATAATTGTTCTAAAGGATACTTCTAAATAACTTCAAGGAAGTTACTACCTTACAGTTAAAAAAACATTATCTTTTACAATAAGTTCCATGACAAACAAAATAATTTAAACACATGATTGACTCTACAAATCTTTTTTAAAAATTACTTTGGAAGTTATAAGAGGAAATATTTTTCCTGTGCTACTTCTTTTTCCTTTCCTATTTCTGATCCCCTCAATATATAATATTATTGATGTAAACTTAAGAATTCAAGGTGAAAGGCATCTTTTTGCTTCACAGAATTTATGACCTATAGAGAAAACAAGGTAAAAACTCAGAACTGAACTTTTTTCCAAAAATACATAAAATAGGATGCATAACAAGATTATCTTTAGAAAATATTTTCTCTTTTTACTGGAAATAGCAAAAATTGTGCCCCAATATTTTCTTTTCTTTCCCAAATGCATGTTTAATTAGCATATGTTCCAACGATGTTCATGAAAAAAAAAATTCTAAGTCAGAGGTACTTAAATAATTTCTTCATAAGTGTTTTGGCTAGTTCAGTGGCCAAGAAAGTATTATGCTTAGTCTCTGATTGGACAGAGTCAAGAAAAAAAAATAGTATAATTACCAAGGCTAAAGCCGATAAGACCCAGCAAGAATCTGTCATTACCTCAGCCATTAGTCTTCCATCTCTTCTCCCCACCCCAACAATAACAAATTCCTGCTTAAGTGTACAAGACTCCAGTGAACTTCCATCAATTCTGCTTCAAGTGACCTAGGAATGGAATGAGCCATCCGTAAAGCCTGGAGTGGTCCAAATAACACAGATAACTTCAGTAACGGCTGGCGCCAAATCAAGGAGAATACCCAATCTTCAGTGACAGAAGGAAATAAAGTCCAAGCTTCTAAAACACGTACTGACAAGTCCAGGAACGTGGCTGGATATAATCTAGAAATGTGGGCTACAATGAGAAATAAAAAGAATGGAAGAATAGTTTGTGGACATGAAGTGTGGGAACAGGAGATGTTAATGTTATGTATTGTACATCTCTACAATGCCTCTCAGCATTTCAGTAACCTTCAAGCTATAAGCAGCTCACTAATTCAAAAGATGTTAAGTACTTTCATGTATAGAAGCTTCACATGAAGCTTCCAAGTCCAGTAAAATCTACACAATTGCATGGACTTTTGACCAAATTCTAAATAGGAACTATTTCTTTCTGTATCTTGCCTTTTAATTTAAACACAGCTCTACCTTTTAGCCAAAATCTAAATGGTGGTAGGTTAAGGATGAGAAAACATGTATGCAAATGACTAAAATACAAGGTTTAAAATAAAAGAACTGTCTAAAGGAAGAGCAGGTGAAGTATCATAAAAGTTCAGAAATAGGAAAGAGGAAAGAAAGAATTTAGAAAAGCTTCATGGAAGATGTAACGTAACAAACTGGATTTTGAAAGGCAAATAAAATCTGACATGTGGAATCTGAGTGTAAAGAGCAGCATGACCGGTGACAGAGTTAAGAGTAATTAGTTCAAATGCACAAAGGGGATTAATAAGAGATATGGAGAGAGGTTGAGGCAACATAACAAAAACAGGGTAGACAAAGCAGCTTTGGAGAGAAACTGATGATTGGATTGTAGATATCTTCACTTACAAGTGCCTGTGAGGAACACCTAGGCAGATATATCAAGAAGGCACCCCCTCCAAACTTGGAAGGTTTGTAGGCACTGAATGCCTCTCTAGTAAGGAGTCATTCAATGTTAAATTTGCCAAATTCAAATTTAACAAATTGAAGTATAGGATGCCCAGATAAATTTGATAAATAGCCCTAACTGCTGAATTTTTGTAATTTATTGAAAAATACATGACATTTAAGGTATTCTGAAAAAGCCAATATAGAAAGGACAAAATCATTAAATATAGGACATACCCTGTATATAAGATGCCTGGAGGCTGGGCACAGTGGCTCACACCTATAATTGTAGCACTTTGGGAGGCTGAGGTGGGAAGATCACTTGAGATCAGGAGTTCAAGACCAACCTAAGCAAGAGCAAGACCTCACCTCTACAAAAAATAGAAATTAGCCGGACGTGGTCCTGCACACCTGTAGTCACAGCTACTCGAGAGGTTGAGATGGGAAGATCTCTTGAGCCTAGGAGTTTGAGTTTGCAGTGAGCTATGATGATGCCACTGCACTGTAGCCTGGGCAGCAGAGTGAGACCTTGTCTCAAAAAAAAAATTAAGAAAAAAAAAAAAAAAAAGGGAGGGAGGGAAAAGATGCCTGGAAACTCTACTTCTTGGGGTATTTCCACCCATGAAATTCTACCTATATGTACTGCTTTTTCAGCTAGTGCTAGTAGACACACTTAACCAGACCATACCAATAAAATTAACCAGAGTATCTGCTGGCAAACTCAAGTCTATGTTCTATACTATGCTACTTGAAAATAAAATTCTTATTAAAAAAAAAGCACCCTCCTAAAATTTAGGAGTTACCCATATACAGCTAAAAACTAAAGCCCTAAGAATAAATGAAACCTGAACATAACTACAAAAAAGAAAAAACAAAGTAAGAATCAAGGATAATGGAATCCTAGGCGTATCAGTGTTGTCTAACATTTTTACAAGAGTTCATTACTTTGGGAATAAAGAGGTAAAAATATCTATGTTTCGGTGGTGTGATAGGGAAACATGCCACTGAGAATACCTTGGAGAAGAATACTTACATTTTCAGGAGACATAAAATTAGAAGGGGCTAAAGAAAAAGCAGTAAAAGAAAAAAGAAAACCAAGAACTAGGAGAGTTAAATGTGAAGAAAACTAAAGAAAGAATTTCAAGGACAGTACAGTAAAAGCAGATAAACTAATAATTTTACTCCATATTCCCCTTGCTTTAGTAACACTAATTCATCATAATCTCCACCACTATTCTCCTCCTTAACATTTCCCACCAACCTTCACCATCAGGGGACAAAACAAGTTACTTTTGCACTCCAATCAGATTGGTGACTCACATTTTTCAGAGGACAGCGCTGACGTGCATACCACTCTTGAGAATAAAAGCACAGCAAGACTCCAATACCCAAGAAAAGAGAAGTCCACATCAGAACATTCCAAATTGGCCTTTTCCAGCTATCATTTACAATGAAGTTGAAAGCCACTAGAGTTAGGAAGACAACAAAAAAATACAGTTATCAAAACAATCTATCAGGAGATAAGGGCCCTCAGATATCTGCTGTCATCATTTAATAATCACAGTGAGCAGCAACTGTTTATATATATTTTATTCTGATCACTGATTGTATAAATAAAAATGAACTTTCACTGTGATAATGTATTAATCGGTAATTAACAGGAAATCAACAGTATTCACGACAGCTGAATATACTGCCATGAAATTATTCATATCCTAACTTGTCCCTCTCCACAAATGGACCAAAAAATGGTCAATTTTCCAAGGGGTGCCCACCGACAGTATTTATGAACAGGGAAGCTGTTTATATAGTCTTCATGACCTACCAATCAGTGTTATTAATGGTCTTCACAAGGTTATCTAGTTCATTTCCTTAATTCAAAGTGTAAACATCTTGAGACAGTTGTGTGTAATTATTCAAAGTCAATATTCTAACCATCTGATAAACACTTACATTGAAATGGTATTACTACTATCTAGTTTTTCTACATTGATTTTATAGTTTCTGTCTGATTTTCTCTTTTAGCATAATCCCCAGTACTCACAGCATGCCAAGATACTTACTTCCAAAGAACATGAAGAGCACGAAGAGCACGGGATAGAAGAAGCTCAAGCAAACAGCCAAGGCATACTCGTGCACTACAGCAGACACAGCAAAGACAGCTAACATGGCAGCAGACTTGAACCTCTTAGAGAACAACTAAGGGAAAACATTAAAAAGTAATTAAAAAAAATTTTATTTTATTTTATTTTTTTTTTTTTTTGAGACAGAGTCTCACTTTGTTGCCCCGGCTAGAGTGAGTGCCGTGGCGTCAGCCTGGCTCACAGCAACCTCAATCTCCGGGGCTCAGCGATCCTACTGCCTCAGCCTCCCGAGTAGCTGGGACTACAGGCATGCGCCACCATGCCCGGCTAATTTTTTGTATATATATTTTTAGTTGGTCAATTAATTTATTTCTATTTTTGGTAGAGACAGGGTCTCGCTCAGGCTGGTTTCGAACTCCTGACCCGAGCAATCCGCCCGCCTTGGCCTCCCAAAGTGCTAGGATTACAGGCGTGAGCCACTGCGCCCGGCCTAAAAAAAATTTTAGAGTAAGAATGAGCTTTATAAGATTTATAATTATGACAGGCTAAAGGCACCTAGTTTAATGTATTTATGCTTGATTTTCCAAGTCTACTCCTTGGATTAATCCAAGTCTATTAATTACAAAAACATATATACTCATAAATCTTTATTTGATTAAAATGAGGCATTTTCCTAAAGCATTATTGTTCAAAGATCTAGGTATATTTCTAAAAACATATACGTATATAAATAGCTTATATACGTAAGTTATTACGGTTGACAAATCATAATTTTCATACATAAATGAAACATATCTAATTTTAATCTTCAGAGTAACACAGTATGGTAGCTAGAGCAGACATCCTCTGCATTTTTACAGGTAACAAAATCAAGGCTTAGAAAGGAGAAGAGATTTGCCTCCTCAGTGTGTGAAACTGCACTTAAAGGACAGAATTAGCACTCAAATACAATCCCATTTCTACCATGAGATGCTGTCACTTGGTTAGATGGTGCCATTTCCTAATAAAAGCTGTAATTCAGAGATACCAGTGTCAACCAAGAAATTCAAGTCTAAGTACATTCTGCTCTAAGGAATATCCAAAGACGTGTCACTGATTAGAGAGACATAAATCCACAAAAGGTGTTTCTCCACTTTTAACAAAAAAACAAAAACGAAAAAAGGCTAGAGGGAGATTATTTGTTGGCAACGAGATTCATAAGAAATGATCCATTATTGGTGGATCATTTCCGCTGTTCCCAAGACTTCCATGCATTCTTACTTTGTTATCATATAAAATAAAACCCAGAGCAAACACATAGTATTAGACCTAGTACTATACATACTGGTTTCTAAGCAACACTATTTAAAGCAGAAAGGTTCTTAGATGTAAACGTCCCATAGGAAAACTGAAAAGATATTATCACCCTTTCTTCATGAGCAATTAAATACAACTTCTTCCAGCTGCATAATACTAATACTTTTTGGAAAAAAATCTCCATTTTCTTTCTTCTCTTCTCTCCTTTTCTTTCTTTCTTTCTTTTTTTTTTTTTTTTTGAGACAGGATCTCACTCTGTTGCCCAGGCTGGAGTGCAATGGCATTATCATAGCTCACGGTAACCTCCAACTCCCGGACCCAGGCTCAAGTGATCCTCCTACGTCAACCTCTTGAGTAGCCAGTCAGACCACAGGCCAACACATCCAGCTAATTTTTTCTATATGTCATAGGGACAGTGTCTTATGTTGCCCAGGCTGGTCTCAAACTCCTGAGCTCAAGCAATCCTCCCACCTCAGCCTCCCAAAGTGCTAGGATTACAGGCATAAGCCAAGGTACCTGCCCAAATACCCATTTCTTAAATAACATCAACTAAATCTTGCTGCTTACCCAGAGAAAGTCCTTGTAAGCATAATAATATAACCAGTCATGGACCACCACATTCCAGGTCCTGTAATAGTTAGAGTATGATGTGGAGTTCCACCAATCCTGAGGGGAAAAGTAAAGGTAAAGTAAAACCACACACACAAACCCTCTAAAGCCAAACCCCCTCAATTTTCCCAAAGTACATACATAACATGGAACCCACAGTATATTATGATAAATTGCTAGTCAATACACTCATGTCAGAAAACTCTTAAAAGGCATTTTGGTTATTAGTTTTGAATATGACATGAATTCTAGTACTACGTATGGCTGTTTCTAGGTTCATTTTGTCTCATTATCAAACAAGTTATGATAGAAGGTACAGAATATAGAGAATCATTTAAATCTAATGATCATCTAAACAGCTATCAGTAAACTCTCCCTGCCACCTGCCAGCTCATCACTTGCTAGAAGATAATAAGAAAAATCTAAGGTCATTAAAACTAAATAGAGGCCGGGGGGCGGTGGCTCAGGCCTGTAATCCTAGCACCCTGGAAGGCCAAGGCGGGCGGATTACTCAAGATCAGGAGTTCGAAACCAGCCTGAGCAAGAGCGAGACCCCCATCACTACTATAAATAGAAAGAAATTAATTGGCTAACTAATATATACAGAAAAAATTAGCCGGGCATGGTGGCACATGCCTGTAGTCCCAGCTACTCGGGAGGCAGAGGCAGGAGGATTGCTTGAGCCCAGGAGTTTGAGGTTGCTGTGAGCTAGGCTGATGCCAGACACTTACTCTAGCCTGGGCAACAAAGTGAAACTCTGTCTCAAAAAAAAAACAACTAAATAGAGCATTAACATTAAAGAGCTATTTGGCAGTAGGATTGCTTGAGCCTAGGAGTCTGAGGTTGCTGTGAGCTAGGCTGACACCATGGCACTCACTCGAGGCTGGGCAACAAAGTGAGACACTGCCCCCCGCCCCCAAAAAAGGAGCTATTTGTGGTATCATAAAAATGGCAAGATTTAAGTTACACTGGAGTGAGATGGTGGCTACCTCCAAGTCCTGGTGTCCCTTTATATAATTCTCACTCTCAATTTTAAGATCAGACTAATAAAACCAGATATCTCACATTTACAATCCACACTTAATGTTTCTTTGAGAAAAGCATGGGAGACTTGCAGTGATGTCAAAAAACAACAAAAACTAAAAGAGGGTTTTATATAGGGTTATAGAACACTATAGAAACACTCTGGCTCCAGTCTAGAACTTAATTCCAACTTTAGAAGTAAAAGGATACTATTGAATTAATACCTTTCAAAATAAAGAAAAGTTATTTCCCTCACAAACTGCTTAATGGTCTTAAATGGAATAATTTGCTGAGGTCACCCCTACAGAACTAGATAGCCAACTTCAAATGAATGAACACTGAGGAAAGCCTCATAATGTCTTATGGACACTTTCCTGCTATAATCACCAATATATTTCACAGGATCCAGTAAAAATCATGAGCTTGTATTAAGGGAGTAGAAATTAGAGGTAAAAGACAAGACTGTATCAGAATTTCAGACTTAATATTGGTAAAATTTGTGGAAAAGAAATTTCACAATGTTTTTGTCAAAAAGCTGGTAATATTAGCCAACATGCTCAAATACTTAAAGAGGAAATACATTAAATGTGAAAGAAAAGATGACTGTAATTATATATTACCTTATAAAACATCCTGTCACCAAAGCGTAACATCTCAGCAAAGGCATTGAGCCAGCAGTGCAAAAAAGCAAAAAAAGTAAGGAACAGAATCAGCACCCCTAAAAATAAGATTAACAGTATTAACAGTCCTTCCAAATAACTCACATATCAAGCAGTTAGTTACATGTCAACATTTGTTTAGCCGGGATTATTTCATAAAATACAAGTTATTATTCTAGTATGAATTACACTATATTGAAAAATACCCATTTACATGTCAACCCCTTTACATTTATTCAAAAACTATTTATAGAGCATCTACTATGTACCATACAACATGAGAGACTGTGACTGGCTATAAAATACAATCCTTGATCTCAATGAATTTGAATTCCAGTGAGGAAGACATCGAAGTATGTAACACATATCCTATTTTAGGGAGAGATACAGAGTTTATTAGAATAAGTCTTGGGGACCATTGAGGGGAGGAGATAGTTATTGGATAAAGTCTGAGAGAGGGGGAAAAGAAGAGAGAAGGTGATGACAGAAAACATTACCAACATTTAATGAGTAAGGAGGAAGAGAAAGTAAACTATAACTGAAATGCAAGCTCCCAGAAGGTAATATGCATGTATTGTTTGCTGCTTAGTGCTGAGTACTTGGCATACACTAGGAACTCATATATCTCTAGAAAAAAAATAAGTGGAATGAATGAAGTTAAGAGATTGAGGTATGGCTGGAAAATCAGGAGGAGAATAAGAAATAGTGACAAGAGAGATTTCAAGATGTGATCAGAAACGTCAGAAACAAGGTCAAATTGGATAAGGGCTAAATGGTGTACTGGATTTAGATTCAGGAGGATACTAGTGATTTTAAGAAAGAGCATTTCAGTGGCTGGTGAGATTAGGAGCTAGATTGCAGTGAACTGAATAGAGAACAGAGATAAAAAGCATAAATATGGCCCATCTACCATCAGAGAATATAAAACTTGAATGAAAGCCAGAAGATGAATGGAAAGGTTGTCCTGAGACTGGAAGAAACACAGTTCATTTTCTAAAATAGATGGAAAAGAGGTCAAGGTGGGTAAAGATATGTAAATAAGTTTAAAGGAAAAAGAAGATAAATAAAAAGTGTTCACAGGCAATAGTTTTCTACTTTCCTTGTGAACTTATGCATAACCAAATTAACAAGTACCCATGTTACCTGGCAAGATGGAGTTAAATACACATAGGACCAGAACACGAGCGCTGAAGGGCTCCTGTTTGATATTCCGAAACAAGGGGGCACAAAGCCTCTCAAAGATGTAGTATACATAACAAAAGCAACCAAAAACCTGGAATATAACAAAGATACAATTATAATAATGATGGCTTGATAGGAAAGACAGAAGATAATCTTCAAAGTACATATGTGACCCTGAATGTTTACATAATTCATTTAACACTAGTGTGCAGGATTGCTATAATCCTTCAGAGATATTACTCAAGCCTAGTTTCTACCACACCTTTTCCCAATCCTTTATTAAATGACATTTTTTAAAGTTCATACTCTTAGAAACTGCTTTCTTCCTACGTAAAACCCATAATAAAGGAACTTATTTTATAAATGGGTATTTGATTGAGATAAGAATTTAAGGTGGGATCTTCCTGGATTTATGATTCTGATAGGGGAATGGGGAAGAGTCAGACCACACCCACACACGTATACCTGCCCCCCCCCAAAACAAAAACAGCCAGGAACACAGGAGGAAATTAATGTAGATGCTTACTGAAATAACCAAGTAGAATTACTTTAATTAAAATAATACTTTTTTATTGAAGAAAATTACTTTTGACGTTGGAAAAACAAACACCATTTAGTGTACTGGGAATAGTTTAAAAGAATTCACAGTTTCAACAGACAGCATTCTAGGGCTTCCAGTAGATTTAAAGAAATTAAATTATTATTATAAATTATTATAGATGTTATTATAAATACCTCCCACCAATCAACAAACCATAGGCAGTTAAAAATTTACCTGTGCAAACTGCATAGCAACATAACCCCATCTTACAGTGGGAGTCCTAATAAAGAAATGAAATAAATTTTCTAAATAAATACTTGAATTACTTGACTCTCACAGAGAGAATTATTACTCTCACAATTAACATTTTTGCACACAGATCACTTATGACCATATGAAATACTTATGTAATTCTGTCAAGAATTACCATAATCAAATGAGACTGCTATAATTGCCATTTGAGGCATCCCATGCCAGACAGAAAATGAAAATTTCTATATTCTCTGTATCCCTACATGAACTGGTGGTCCCTGCCTACTACCCCACCTTGCCCACACCATACTTTATGTTCTCACCACATTCCTTCTTCATAGTGCCATTACCTGGGATAGCTGTCACGGTAGATAAGGGTAGGAGCAAACAAGAAGTACAAATACTGGTTGACTGTAGGTATTGGAACAGTGCCTAGAAAAGGAAAACTATACTTAGATCAGAAGCTCTTTGATTTCTCTCAGTAAAACTAAAGGAGAAAAATAAGGAAGCACAGAACAGGGAAGAGTAACATGACATCTTTTAGTGTACATTCTTTCCTCCTTATCTCCTAAAATAACCTCCTATTCTTGTATTAATTGAATATTACCAATCTATCTAACCTAAGTTATTCCTGTGACTGAGATAACTTCTAGAGAGTGTGAAGCCACAATTTGCAAAAATTAAGCATTCACAAGTATAATGAGGCAAAGTTACAAAAGAGGCTAATGGTCAATTTTTTAAAATTATAGGTTCAAGGGTAAAACAAGAGAAGTCAGGAAACAGTGAAATAGTCTTCCAAATCAATATAGAGGCTATATATTTAAAAATCAAATATAATCTCTACATTATATAATGTGCCATCCCAGTAAACACGAAAGGTTGAAATAGCCTGTCAATAATTCTTTAACTTAATGAAAGTACATACTTGATTTCTCCTTAGATGAATTTAGAACCCGAGGTACATTCTCTCTGACAAATGAATGGGCCTTCATTATCAAACGAATCTACAAAAGGGAAGAGCGGAAAAAAGATGAATTTTCTATCATTGTCTCCTATAAGCAACTTCAGAACAGCATTAGATTACATTTACACAACTTAATTTTGCATATACCAAACCAAGTTCACTTTTATGCAATAAAGAAAATTTTTTTAAAAAACTCCAAAGAAGAACATGTAGTTACTCAAATTATTTTGCATCTAACAGCATTACCTATCACAGGTATATTACAAATTAAGAAATTAGGCCGGTCACAGTGGCTCACACCTATAATCCTAGCACTCTGGGAGGCCGAGGCAGGTGGATCACTTGAGCTCAGGAGTTCAAGACCAGCCTAAGCAAGAGTAAGACCTTGTCTCTACTAAAAAAAAAATAGAAAGAAATTAGCTGAACAACTAAAAAAAATATATAGAGAGAGAAAAAAGTTAGCCGGGCATGATGGCGCATGCCTGTAGTCCCAGCTACTCGTGAGGCTGAGGCAGGAGGACTGCTTTAGCCCAGGAGTTTGAGGTTCCTATGAGCTAGGCTAATGCCACAGCTAGGGCAACAGAATACGACTCCATCTAAAGAAAGAAGGGAGGGGAGGGAGGGGAGGGGAGGGGAGGGGAGGAGAGGGAGGGAAGGGAAGGGAGGAAGGGAGGAAGGAAGGGAAGGGAAGGAAGGGAGGAAGGAAAGAAATTAAAAGTCTGTTCATTTCCAATGACTTTTACTTAAAAAAAAAAAATCTGTTCAGAGAAGTCCTCTGAAAGGGCCCTTTCCATTAGTCAGATTATAGACAGCCAATGTAAGTCTGAAAGGTATAGAAATAAATGAAAATAAATCACTTGGTATTCAGCTGGGAAGCAGCAGAATAAGACAGCTGAATAGAATCCTCCAGCAATTAATCGTCTCCCTTCCCCCCAAGAACACCAAACCTTATGTATAGGACTTCTTAAAACTTATCATCTGAAGTACTTTCTATGTTCCCTGTTTTCAGTGAATGGTTTTTGTGTGCCTATAAAACCCATTCTGGTAGGTTTTCAAGAATGCAGACCATTCTTTTTTGAGATGTTTGTGGAGGGTACATTAAGCATCTTCTAAACTGCTTTAAGGAAAAGTCTTTATATGGTATTTTAAAATTAAATATATATTATTAACTTGATAATAATTGAATAGCTGACCACCTATATATACAAGGCATCTTCATGAGAACTGAAATAAATCATTTAGAAGTAGTTACATAATAATGAATGTGATACCTCAAAAGTGGAAGATTTTAAATACAAAATATTTTATAATTTAAATAACTTTTACAAAAAGTATTTGAGATCAAAAATCTAATTCATCCCAAGCAGTTCAATATAATTCATTTCATTTATCAAGACTCAGAACACTGAAGCTCGAATGAATCTTAAGAGATGAGATGATCTAGTTTAACACTTTAATTTTACAGATGTCCTAAAGAATAATATATGGAAATTTATTCAAGTTAATACAGCTAAAAATAAGTTTAGTATTATATCATTATTATTATTATTAATTTAACTAAGCATAGCATCACTTTAGGTAACACTCAAAACCTTACCTGTTCAAGTATAACAATGAACCGGGAAGCTGGTGGCAGTGTATATGCTAATACAACATATGTTGGTCCAAAACCTAGAACTCCAATCTGGAAGATTGTGAAAAGCAAGCCATGGAAGAGAGAATGGATCAGTGGACGAGAACTCTTACTGTAGCCACTGGCCCAACGTTGAAAAAGAAAATAGGGAATTGAAAGTGTAGACAGGAACATGATACACCATGTCCAAACAACGGTAGGAAGTTTGCCAAAAGCATAAGACAGGAGACTGAACTCAAGCACCAGCCTGGGGAGAAAAAGCACCAAAAAAGAACATAGAAGTGAATTTTTAATGTGCACTGAGTTCACAGAATTCAAAACTTTCATACCCTAAACTTTCAACCTTAGGAAACACTACAATATTAATACACTGAAGTCATAGATGTAATAGTTCTGATAGACAGAGATCTGCTTCTATCCCTCTGCTTCACAATATATCTCAACAGCTAGTTTTCTAAAAGCCCTAAGATAATACAGTCTTTGAACTTAAGATACCTAATATAATTGGACTTTGAACTTCTGAAAAATCAGATTCACATTAATATTTTTGAACTCAAATATTCTATGGCAAAATAAAATCTAAAAATAGCAATCATTCCTATGTGCAAAAGATGACTTTTTTCAGAAGGAAATAGGTACAATTCAAATCTCTTAATATACTATCATTTCAAAATTTAATTTTCAAAAAAAACCACATAATTCAATCTATGATTATCATACTGCCATTTTTTAAGTTACAATTTTTAAGTTACAATTTGATTGCCATTTTTTAAGTTACAATTTGATTTTTATCTTAGAAAGAAACATCATTTTCAACCTTAAATTCCAAGAAGCTACTTGTTATAAGTAATAATCTTAAATGAATACCATCAAAAAAATTGATAAATCATATATGGGCTGTCCCTCCACACCCACAGGGGATCGATTTCCAAGACCATGTGCAGATATCAAAATCCATGTACAGTCAAGTCCTGGAGTCAGCCCTATGGAACCCAGGATATGATAAATCAGCCCTCTATACAAGCGATTTCATATCCAGGAATACTATCTTTTCCATCCAAGTTTGGTTGCAAATGTGGAACTCGCCAACATGAAGGGCTAACTGTACTTATTTTGAAAAAAATCCATGAACCCATGTTGTTCAAGGGTCAACTGTATACAAAATTCTCCCATTTGGAAAAATTACCTACCGTGTTTCCCCGAAAATAAGACAGGGTCTTATATTTATTTTTCCTCAAGGAGACACCCTAGGGCTTATTTTCAGGGGATGTGTTATTTCGCCCTAAAAGCCTCAGCTTACAGCACACACAGGATGGTCAGGACCTGACAGGGGGAGCCAACCTTGTTGGTGGGGCTGCCCGCACCTTTCCTTTCCGGTCACCTCTGAGATAGTAGCTGTCACGATGGGGCAGAGGAGAAGGGCTGCTCGTCTTCTTTACCGCTCCATGATGAAATGCATGGGTTGTGCAGATATGCTGCATGGCCACGCCCATCACTAGGTCTTATTTTCGGGGTAGGGCTTATTTGCGCAAATGCTTAGACATCCTGCTAGGGCTTACTTTATGGGTAGGTCTTATTTTCAAGGAAACACGGTAGAAACTACCAATCACAGTCTATTAAAAATAAAATTTAAGGCCGGGCGCGGTGGCTCACGCCTGTAATCCTAGCTCTCTGGGAGGCCGAGGCGGGCGGATCCTTTGAGTTCAGGAGTTCGAAACCAACCTGAGCAAGAGCGAGACCCCGTCTCTACTATAAATAGAAATAAACTAATTGGCCAACTAATATATATACAAAAAAATTAGCCGGGCGTGGTGGTGCATGCCTGTAGTCCCAGCTACTCGGGAGGCTGAGGCAGAAGGATCGCTTGAGCCCAGGAGTTTGAGGTTGCTGTGAGCTAGGCTGACGCCACGGCACTCACTCTAGCCTGGGCAACAAAGTGAGACTCTGTCTCAAAAAATAAATAAATAAATAAAATTTAATAGATCACTAAAATGTTCTATTAAAAATAAAATAGATTTTATTTTTAAAATATTTTTAAAAATAAAAGTAATGAAAGTTCTAATTTTCTCTCTAGTTATACTCTTCAGGGAAGAAGAATATCGCACTCATATCATCACTGCTTTGGGAGTTTCTGAAGCAAATTGAACCAAATTACCCTTTACCAAAATTTAGTGAAAAATCCCAGCTTCTCCCATATCAACTAGCCAACCTTCCTTTTTGTTGTCTTACCTTCCTTCATCAATGTAATCTACTACAAGTGTGCTGAGGATAAAGAGAATGAGGAGAGCAATAAACATGTGATATATTGTTCTGATGTGGTCCACTTCAAGCAGCTCACTGTAAATGTAGTTCAAACAAATCAAATTAATAATCTGTATTTAATTTTAAAACACCATATAAAGACTTTTCCTTAAAGCAGTTTAGAAGATGCCTAATAGACTATCCAAAAATATCTCAAAAAAGAATGGTCTATATTCTTGAAAACCTACCAGAATGGGTTTTCTAGGGAAACAAAGGCCATTTACAGAAAACAGGGAACATAAAAACTATTTCAAATGCTAACAAGTTTTTAAAAATCCTATTCATACATTCTATTCCCTACATTTAACTAATATATATTAAGCACTATATATTTCCAAGATGTTAAAATTGACACAAGTTTCTATCATACTGATGATAACTCATCACCACCCTACATGTACATAAAACCTAAGAGTTTACAAATGCTTTTACATTCTCCTGACTCTCCCCTCCCCTTCTCTTTTGATACTTATTTACTTTTGTATTTGAGATTGGGCTACTTTTCTTTTAAAATATAGCCATAACTTTCTAGAAGACTTTTCCTAAACAGATCTTTCATATCTTACTAAAACAAGCTTTTTTTTGTTAATAGAAAAAGTGTAGTTTATTAAAGCAAAGTGAACATGTGATCCTTGCTCTAAAAGGGAATATACATAAATGTACTATTATAATAAAGTGGCTCTGTAGTTGTAACTAGCACTTAATATTTTCTCAAATCCCAATAATTTCTATGTCAAACTGGGCAACATCTCCATCTTGAATGAGAATAATTAGAACTGGGGTGACCACATTCCTTAAAATTTTGAAACAGGGACCAAGGGTCTAATTGTTGTCTGCAATAGCATTTCTAACCTGATTCTTTTAAAGGGGCATATATTACCAATAGCTAGCATTTAGAATGTATGTTTCTTCAAATGACTTAATCTAAAGCCATGTGCATCCCTAAGTAGCTGAGTTCTGCCTCCTACCTATAAAGTGATTTTTTAAAAAGCGTCATCTCAGTTTTGTTCCAAAAAACTTTGTGGACGATTATAATCATGATAGAATATATCAATTCTTGAATATTTCTTTTTAAAAGTGATCTGGTGGCCGGGCGCGGTGGCTCACGCCTGTAATCCTAGCTCTCTGGGAGGCCGAGGCGGGCAGATCGCTCGAGGTCGGGAGTTCGAAACCAGCCTGAGCAAGAGCGAGACCCCGTCTCTACTATAAATAGAAAGAAACTAATTGGCCAACTAATATATATAGAAAAAATTAGCCGGGCATGGTGGCACATGCCTGTAGTTCCAGCTACTCGGGAGGCTGAGACAGAAGGATCCCTTGAGCCCAGGAGTTTGAGGTTGCTGTGAGCTAGGCTGACGCCACGGCACTCACTCTAGCCTAGGCAACAAAGCAAGACTCTGTCTCAAAAAAAAAAAAAAGTGATCTGGGCATATTTCCTTTAAGAGCAAAAGTCAAACTGATGTCACTAAACCAAACCCACTTGAAAACCATCAGCTATTACAGTTGTGCTACAGAAGGGGTCAAAGCCAGTATTGGAAATATTATACTTTACTGAATTCTAGAACAGCTAATCTACCCACTCTTCTTTACCAATGATAATAAGAATGGAAGAAAATATATGAAGGTTAAAGTAAGAGTCTATGCCACTGTTAAAAAAGTTGGAATAACTTTCACTGTACTGGTGAGGTAATTATAATACCCTAACATATACCAGTAATGATTCATTATTCAAAACAAGAAGTGATTTCACTTGGGATTCTGAAGTGAATTTATTCACACTGATTGTGCCCTCTGCTTTAGTAAGATATCTGGCTTACAGAGCCCTCTTCCCATCCTCCAATGCTCGATTTTAAAATACAACAGTAAAACCCTAGTGGACAGATCTGGAATGGGGTAGCATGAGCCACAACTGTATAGCCCAGGCTAAGGAACTTTATTCAGTTGTAATGGAGGGAGGAGGTTTCTCCTTTCTTTTTCTGGGGGTTTGCTCCTTTGTCCTTTCAGCTAATTCTTTCTATATCACAGATGAAAAAAAGACTGGTTGTGGATTTAAAAAAAATAAGCATTTATGCTATCAAACAAAAAAATGTAGAAAGGATGCAGTCTTTTACCTCAAAATAGTCCCTGTAGTCCAATCCAGCCCTAAAGCAAGCAGAGAATACTACTGCAAAGCTACTGCTAGAGAAGTAGACTCGCCAGAGTCACTGAGGAAAGGCATATAAAAGGAAACTTGACCTTAACAGCAGACTACATTTGATAATGGAAACAATATATTTCTCCACTGAGATATAATACTGTGTAATGCACTGAAAAAGTTAGATTTTGGAGTTATAGCACAATTTGTAACATTACAGCATTTTGGGTCACGTCTTCCCATCGTCCTTCTTGTTCTACTCTGAGACCCTTCACCCCGTTAGTATATGACATACTGGTGAAAAAAGACAAGGAAACAGTGGCACACGCCACAATGGAGCCATCTGCATGCAGTTCAGCCTGATTTTTACTCTTTCTTCCATAATAGACTCCATTACAATTTTGAACCATCTGCAAAGAATACAGATACACAAAACTACAACAGGTATCCCTCTATGATTAGACTATTTTAAAGTCTTCAGAAACTTTCCAGGCGTACCTTTGATAAAATCCTCCTGCCCCTGTACCCCAGTAGAACCCAAACAGGGGCATCCTTTGCTCCTTGTAAGTCTTGCCAGAACTTGTTTAATGGGGGCTCAGGGTTTTGGTTTTCCTCTTTATTCTTTCTCTTCTTCATCATCATCTTCATCATGGCAGTGTATAACTTCCTGGGGGACCAGTGGGAAGAGGTTGGGGGGTTTAATCTCACTAATCGACCAAGTCAGCTGATACTGCTTACAGTCGGTGTCTTTGAACTCCACTGATGTGTGGATCCGGGTGGCGAGGGGAGACTCCATCTCGTTGATAGCTACATGTGTATGTTCCACTGTTGATTCATGAGGCATCAAGACATGAGCAGCTCTGAAGAGGTAGCTGAATGGGTAATACAGCAGGTTGATGAAAGAGGCTGCATACAGGTCAGCATAACACATCACTTGACTGGCAAAGAGAGTCTGCCGCGAGCCACTGCGAAACAGGCTTCCCATCATCCCATAGCACATGTCCATGTCATGAGTTACTTTCTTAATACGTTTCTGGATGGAACTAATGTCTGGGCGCTCACTGCTACTGCTGTCAAGGTGCTTGCAGAGTTCAGCCAAGAAGATATCCAAGTTCTGAAGCTCTTCAAAAAGTGAACTCCTATCAGTCCAGACATGCAGCTCCTGTGCAAGTTCAGGAAGAACCAAGAAAGTTCACCACCCTTGGCGTTTCTTTGATTTTAAAATGTCACCAAAAATATGGTCTCCAATATACAAAATGTCTTTTCCCTTGGCTCCGAACAGATCACAGATTGTATCAGATGAACCTCCTGAGTGGACGATGTCATGCTGTAGGGGCCTGTGTAGGTACCAATTTTCAGCTCGCCAGTTTTGGTATCCACTTGACGCAGTACTGTGCCTTCTCCAAAAAAGAGTGGTTTCCGTGCATCCACCAAGATCAGGTCAAAGTAGGACTGCCATGGTCGGTGGGAGCTCTCAGGCTTGGGGCCATGTGGGAAATCGAACAGGTAAATCATAATTTTATCTGTATATATACAGTCACTGTTGGAGGCAAGAAACACTTTCCCTACTTCTTTCATCCGGCTCAGAAGCAAAGGCAGTTTTCCATCTTTGACTACATACTTCTCAAGATTTTCAACTGTCTTCTCCTTAAGGGAGCCCTTATAATGAACCCAGTCAACAGCATCTCTTACATCCTGAACATACTCTGGTAGGACATGAAGGGGTCCCCATCTTTAAATCCTGTTTCACAGCTGGTATATCTGGGACAATTAGTAAAAAAATCTACTAGGCAGGCCAACAGGTAGGTCTCTGGTAGGTTGAATAATGTGTTCAGAATGTAAAATCTTTCAGTGTCATCTCGTTGGATAAATTTATTTGGATATTGCTTTCTAGTTTCTGGTCCCCTTATGAAGTTAAATCCATGTGCACAGACCAAGAGGTTTCCATAGGCATCAACTTTCAAAAGATTTCCATATAGTGTGTCAAAGACAAGCCCCCTGGTAGGGAATGTAGACTCATAAGCAAAACTGAGTAGCTCCTGGGGATAGCCAATAGAAACTAATCTTTCCACAGTAAGCTCAAAGCCAAGGGATTCATACTCTGGGGACTTGTACACAGCAAGGGTGTAATCCATATCAAAACCAAAACACTTTATTTTCTCCATGGCTAAAATCTGTTCACAAACACCCGATGATAGGCTTCTCGACGGTACTTTTTCAAAGCATGCTTACCCATGCCAGCAGGCAGATCTGCTGCATTCTGCAACCGATCACTCCAGGAGGCTGTCATTTTAATTATATGGCTGAATTCTCTCCTTTCTTCTGTAGCTCCAGCAGCAGCCGCACACCGGGCCCTGCTCCCAGCACCATGAGCTTCGGCTCGGAGCACTACCTGTGCCCCGCCTCCTCCTACCGCAAGGTGTTCGGGGATGGCTCTCGCCTGTCCGCGCGCCCTTCTGGGGCCGGTGGCTCGGGCAGCTTCCGCTCCCGGTCGCTGTCCCGCTGCAATTGGCCTCCTCAGCCGCCTGCTCCTCGGCCTCGACGCTTGGCCTGGGCCCGGCCTAACGCCGGGCTCCGGCGAGTACAGGATCCTCCGCCCCAGCGAGGAGCAGCGGCAGGGTCGGCAGGGCCTCAACGACCGACCGAGCAGGTGCATCAGCTGGAGACGCAGAACCGCGCTCGAAACAGGCTTTTAAATCTTATGTTTAGAAAGACGTATGCTAACTTTTTAAATGACCTTTTGAGGAATTTAAAATAATATTACATCTCTGGAATAAAACATTGAAATTCTAATAAAAATCCATCACATAGAATATGTGTTCTATTTCCTTGGTTAAAACATATTTTTAATTAAAGTGTATTTTAATTTTGCTTATTTTTCATGTCATACAAATTCTATCATAAAATTTAAATTATAATGTTCAAAATTACTTTTATTTTCCTTTTGTGTGAAAAGCCTGCATTTCCCCCATATATAAATTTTAAAAGATCTCTTCAAATAGTGTAGCAAAACACTGAAACAAAATTTTACACTATATGCTTAGAAAATTCTTACCTTCTTTTTTTTTTTTATTTTTATTTTTTTTTTTTTTATTTTTTTTTTTACACCCCCAAAATCATAGCTTGTTGAAATTTCTTACCTTCTTATCAAGGTTAGGTACTACAGATCGATTTGGCTCATAGAAAACAAATTTCATAAGCATAAGATACATTTTTAAAGAAAAATTAACAGCCAGGTGAGGTGGCTCACGCCTGTAATTCTAGCATTTTGGGAAGCTGAGGGAGTATCTCTTGAGGCCAGGAGTTTGAGACCAGCCTGAGCAAGACCCCATCTCTACAAAAAGTAAAAAATTAGCTGGGCGTGGTGGCATGTGCCTATAGTGCCAGCTACTCAGGAGGCTGAGGCAGGAAGATAACTTAAGCCCAGGAGTTTGAGGTTACAGTGAGCTATGATAATACCACTGCACTCTAGCCTGGGTGACAGAGAAAGATCCCATCACACACACAAAAAAACCAAAAAACAGAAAAGCACATTGAGATATTTAAGGTAATTTTTCTTTTTTACCAGTTCAACTATTTCAGATGATCTATACTAATACAGGTTAAATTTCAGCAGTATTCTAATGAATGACATTAATCACCTATTCAAAATGTACCTTTAATTCACAAATGAAGTTGCTACAATTAATTTACACTGTGGATTTTATGAAAAAAATATTAAGCAATCAGGGTTTTAAAATAAGTGACACTGAGAAAACTATCAAGTCTCTAAACTGGCCAAAGAAGAGATGAAAAACAATTTAAGTGTCAAGAAGGCAGCAACTTCCAAAACTCTCTTGAAGTGGTTTATCAAATTAGAAAACTTTTGTTCTAGCTCTATTGGGTAACCAACTCTTCACAGCACAACTGTGCTGTGAAATTTATCAGAGGAATTTATCAGAGGACAGATAGCTGGTCCCTAACTCCTCCTTTGAAACCAGATAGAGAAACAGAAGATCAGAAAGAAGTAAGAGACAGAAAATGTACAAAAAGAAATATCAAAACTAATGATTTATATGGATACAGAACAAACTCCTTACATATTCATAGTGATTCTGTCAAGATAGCTTTCTTAAATTCAAACTAAAAATTAACAAAAACTGGCCGGGCGCGGTGGCTCACGCCTGTAATCCTAGCTCTCTGGGAGGCCGAGGCGGGCGGATTGCTCGAGGTCAGGAGTTCAAAACCAGCCTGAGCAAGAGAGAGACCCCGTCTCTACTATAAATAGAAAGAAATTAATCAGCCAACTAATATATATACAAAAAATTAGCCGGGCATGGTGGCAAATGCCTGTAGTCCCAGCTACTTGGGAGGCTGAGGCAGGAGGATTGCTTGAGCCAGGAGTTTGAGGTTGCTGTGAGCTAGGCGTGACACCACGGCACTCACTCTAGCCTGGGCAACAAAGCGAGACTCTGTCTCAAAAAAAAAAAAAATTAACAAAAACTCCTAAAAATACTCACTCTAAGAGAGATCGCCTTGCAGTAAAAATCTTTCCTTGTTCTGGAGGTGCTCTCAGATCTCTGGGAAGAACAAAAAATTAAAACAAAATATAAGTACCTCAAATATTATAAGAAATCTAATCCCATGAAGAAGAGAAAGAATATTACCAACTACGCCATCTAACATTTATTAACTCCCTTTTCACTATGATTCAGGTACTGTGTGAAGGGTTTTATGTATGTTAATTCATTTAAACAATGCTATGAGGTAGGTGCATAGATAACTACTAAGGATGAAAGGGATGTTAAACACCCCTCACTGGAGCAGCATCCAAAAAGTCCCCCATACCCAGCCCCTATGGAAAGGAATCGCTGTGACTCACACATGAGCAACCATTCTTCCTTCCCTCAGAGATCCCTTGAGGTCAAAGACAGGCCTCCAACCATACTTTATTCCAGGTCATATACTGTAATTGGTCCATCCTCTGAAACTGCACTTATGGTTACAATGCTATTCCTAATGTCAAAGGACTTGCGACAACCTCAGCTTAAAGGCTTCCTCCAGTTACTAATAACATGAATTTTAACATCTTGCATTATCATCTTCTTTAGGGCTTTTTGCACCACCATCAGCACTTCTGTCAACTATTACCGGTCAAAACTGTTCTCTAGAACATGAGAGTCTGGCAGAGAGACCACAAGGGCATAAAACCCAGAAAGCACAGAATGGCAAATTAGCACATATTAGCCTTTGCTAGCCTTCACTCTTCTTCTGGGTGACCGACCAATCAGAAAACTATATGATAATCACTGTACTTTATTACAAGTATTAGAGTACAATAGAGAGGCATATAACCCAATATGACTAAACACAAGGACTCTGGAGCCAGATTGTGGGTTTGAATCCCTGCTTGTAATCCTGGGCAACATTTAAGGGTTCTGTGCTTTAGTTTTCTAATCTGTAACATGCAGAAAGTTATAGTATCTGCTTCATAGGGTCATTGTTTGATTTAAATGAATTAACCCATAAAGCACACTTAGCAAGGCTTGGCTCTACTATTTTATGAGTCAGCACTCTTCACAGAAAGAAGTGTGCACATAGGTTATATAATCCACACATTAAAATGAAAAAAATCCACCTTTTAAGTGGTTAAACAATTTTCCTAATACAACATATAGCCAATAAAAAGTGGTGGCAAGGTAGGAACTCAGGAATTTTTACTTCAGTCCACATTCTGACCACTGAGCTATACTGAGTAGATGTTTGTATTAAAAGAAAATAAAATACATACTTACTTTGTTCTCTGGTTGTTTTTCTCTCCTTCAAGAACAGAAAAGGTTGTGAGAGCACACCCACCATTATCTAATGATGCTGATTTTTCAATGAGATTGGTCACAAAATCATCAAAGTGACTGCCAACTTCCTTCATAAAAAATGGTTTCAATTCCTAGAGTTTCAAAACAAAGAAAAATATAAGGAACTATGACATGCTTGTGATTCATTAACATTTTTCTAACGGGCTCGCTTAAACAGAGTTGGATAAAAAAGAAAGCCATGCAAAATGAGTTCAGAGGAGGAGAAGCAGAACAACACTTCCCATATCCGTCTTAAAATTTCAAAATGGCTACTTAAAAAGCAACATGATTTATACCGTTTTAAAAATGTATGCCCTTTTTAGGCATAAATCAAGATAGCAAAGTAATCACCTACTAAATGAACTCCTACAAACAATATACAAAAATCAAAATTACAGAAATGATTTTTAAAAAGACTATTCTTTTCAAATTTTTATTTAGAAACTGAAGTTAAAAAAAAAAAATCAGCATTATATTCCCATCATATACCTATCACAGTTTTAAGTCCCCTTTTTTCTGAAGCAATCCCCTAGTCCCAAATCCTTAACATTTATGTTTTGGGGCATGTCATTTCTACATCATACCTACATTTATACAATGTTTCCTTCTACCTCCATAGCTATGTATTTATATAACCAGGAAACATGCATAAGTGTATATATGTTTACATATATGCATTTTCATAAGGTAAAATTATGTGATATATGTTTTCTTAAAAACGTATTTATAAATGTTATGCATTTTGGTCTCACATAATTCTTAACATCTTAAAACTTCTACTTCCACAGTTTTGAAAAGTATGAAGCAAAACATATTTTTTCAGGTTATAATAGCCACCATTATAAATTTAGTTATTTTCAAATTGGCAGGACTTACAACAAAAGAAAAAAACTATTATTCACTAATTCTTCAAGAGAAAAATATACTTTTTTTCTTACTAAACTATTTAAGTTGAACTCAAAAGATATGAACTAGCATTTTTCTACGTCCTGTTATATACCCAAAAGGTTTAACTTTGACCAAGTCCTTTAAAAGTAAAACATAAAAGTATCAATGTATGAATAGAACTATAAGAAGGCTTTTCAAACCATGCTGTCACATGCAGTTTCCAAATGTCTTCTGGGTCCTGGGCAGTGGGAAAACACTAAGGTCCCAGCTCTCACAGGATAGTTAACAGAGTTAGAAAACATAAGACATATGTATATAAACAATCCACAGATTACCTAAGTGTCACCTGAGCAGTATAACCAATAAAGACTTAAAGAACACATAAGAGTTTAGCAAGCAATGCAGAGATGAGATGATTGAACTGGAGGTCTTTTTTGAGCTGAAATATCAAAGAACCAGGATTTAGATTAAGTGAAGTAAAAAGCAGAGACACAGAAAAGCATGAGGAGTTTTAGCCACAAGAGAAAATGCAAATGAGGTAGGTTTTAGGGACAAAATATAGAAAACCTATGTTCCCTGGAGGAATAAAGAGTTTTTAAAAAATTATTTTTTCATCTTATCTGGCCAGGTGCAGTGGCTCACGCCTGTAGTCCCAGCACACTGGGAGGCCAAGGGAGGAGGATGACTTGAGACTAGACGTTCTACACCAGCCTGGGTGACACAGGAAATCCCCATCTTTACAAAAAAATAAGAAACATTAGCTGGGCATGGTGGCTTGCCCCTCTAATCCCAGTGGAAAGCACAGGCAGGAGGATCACTTAAGCCCAGGAGTTCATGGCTGCAGTAAGCTATGATTCTGAAACCGCACTCTAGCCTGGGAAGCAGAGCGAGATCCTGTCTCTTTAAAAAAAAAAAAAAAAAAAAGATTACTGATAGTGTTTTTATTTTGATAGTGTTTTATTTTAGTTCCTTTGTTCCATTTCAATTATATACCCATCTTCATTCAGAAATTTGTTTTTAATAGGGAAGCAAGAACCCCAACCTACAATAAATATCAAAAAAAAATTCAAGGGAGGGGAATCAAGATGGCGGACGAGAAACACCGCCAGACAAAGTGTTTCTGCAAAAAACACAGATTCTAGGAGAAATTAGAAGAAACAAGCAAGCAGACGAGCATACATCGGACAAGAGTTGGAAGGAGGTGTATCTCAGACCACGGGAGACTCCACGGGAGGAGGTTGCGGAGGAGAACCTGAAGCAGAGACCTCGGGAGCAGCCTGGAGACCAGCGGCAAGAGTAGGTGGCAGGGTTACCTACCCCTCCCTTGCATCTCGGACTGCTGGTGGGCTCCCCAGCTGTTGGAGAGACCTGCGGACACCAGCCCAGAGACGGCAACCACCAGCGAGCGGTAAGCCTGTAGCGGACACGGCACCAGGCTCCCAACTCCACAGGGCACCCCCCTGTGCACAGACCCAGGCCTCGTGGCAGGCGCCATATTACCTCCTTCTCCCCTCCTCCATCCCTACCCATGGCTGCTAAGAAACGGAACCTTCCCTTTTGGGGCCCTACAGCTGACTGAGGGGAACTCAGACTGTGAGCTCCCCACCCGCCAGCCGTCCCAGGTGCAGCTGGCATGGTGCTCCCAGGCAAACAATGTAGACCCTGAGGCTGAGAGACATCGACCAGCTTGGGCTCCCATGGGTGAATTGGGACTGGCACTCCTCTCCCTGGTGGGATCAGGGATTGAACTCTGGGGCCCAGAGGTGAGACCTGCAGACCAGATCTTGTGCACCCAGGTCTCACATTGCCCGGGGCACATAAGTGATATACGCAAACAGCCCACTGAGGTATGTGTGCCTTCAGGGGCAGATCAGCGTCCTAGAGGGCAACCCTCCTCCCAAAGGGAGGCCGTGCGCCCAGCCCAGGTGGCGTTCCTGCGCACGGAACATCCCGGCCGGCATCACAGCCAGGGGAGGCCTGGTGGCCTGTGGTCTGGCCTGCTGGCAGAGGCCCAGGAGTAGCTGCGGAGTTGGGGAGGGTGGAAAGGAGTGAGGCCCCTCCAGACTGCGGGTCTCAGATGGCCCCACCCCCACAGGAAGACTCTCTGAGCAGGGCCATTCCAGCCCCTCCCTGACAGCTTTTCCTGGAAGCAAGAGAACAGAACTTTGACCCCTGCTAACCCCACTGGTGGTGCCTGAGGGCAGGGTTACCCAACCCAGCTCACCCAGACTCTCTCCTAGACCAGCCCTCACTGAGAGGGAGAAGAGGACACACCTCGAAGTCCCAGGGCCCCACCGACCACCTGAGGCACTAGAGTGCATCTGCAGAGGAACAAGAGCTGGTTACAGGACACAAAAACAACAGCATAGCTTGTTCCTCCCAGCAAGCGCCACCTACTGACAGGGAGGACATCCTGCGCACCCTCTTCAAGGCACCTGCTGACTCATCATACAGGGAGTGGTTCAATCTCACCCACAAACACCACCTACCGGCTCAGAAATGTGGATCATAAGAAAACTGAATGACCTGCAACAACAACTGGATAAGCAACACAAAGAAAACACAAAAAGACTCCAAGACCTGGAACACAAATTCACTAAAGAAAGCGATACAATGAAGAAAAGTTTAACCCAACTCCTGGAAATGAAGAATCAATTCAGGGAACTACAAAACACAGTGGAAAGCCTCAAGAACAGGGTACCTCAAACAGAAGAAAGAATCTCAGAGATTGAAGAGAACACCTTCCAATTAAATAGATCAGTCACAGAGATAGAGCAGAGAAACAAGAGAAAAGAGCAAAGCCTATAACAGATGTGGGATTATGTTAAGAAACCTAATGTGAGGGTCATAGGGTTGCCAGAAGGGGAAGAAGAAAACACTCAAGGGTTGGACAAGCTATTTGAAGATATAATAGAGGAAAATTTCTCGGGCCTTGCTAAAAATCTCCAGATACAAGTTCAAGAAGCTCAAAGGACCCCTGGGAGATTCAATGCAAACAGAAAGACTTCACGACATGCAGTCATCAGACTGACCAAAATATCAACTAAAGAGGCCCTTCTAAGAGCTGTAAGACGAAAGAAGCAAGTAATGTACAAAGGAAAGCCAATCCAAATAATGCCAGATGTCTCTACTGAGACTTTACAAGCAAGGAGAGACTGGGACCCCATTCTCACTCTTCTGAAACACAGCAATGCCCAGCCTAGAATCTTATTCCCTGCAAAACTAAGTTTTATATACGAAGGAAAAATCAAGACATTCTCAGATAAGCAAAGACTGAGGGAATTCACCAAGACAAGACCAGCCCTTCAAGAAGTACTCAAAACAGTGTTACCCACGGATCAGCACAATAAACACTCACGAATGTAAATCTACTCAAAGAACTATAGACCAACATCCCTTATGAACATAGATGCAAAAATCCTCAACAAAATCTTAGCCAATCGAATCCAGGTGCTTGTCAAGAAAATAATTCAGATCAATTTACCAGACTTCAAACTATACTACAAGGCTATAGTCATCAAAACAGCTTTTTACTGGCACAAGAACAGGGACATTGACCAGTGGAACAGAACAGAGAACCCAGATATAAAACCATCCTCATAAAGCCAACTAATCTTTGACAAAGCAAATAAAAACATACACTGGGAAAAAGAATCCTTATTCAATAAATGGTGCTGGGAACACTGGATAGCCACATGTAGAAGACTGAAACAAGACCTTTCACCTCTCACAAAAATCAACTCTCGCTGGGTAACAGACTTGAACCTTAGGTGTGAAACTATTAGAATTCTAGAGGAAAATGTTGGAAATACCCTTCTAGACATTGGTCTAGGCAAAGAATTTATGAAGAAGACCCCAAAGGCAATCACAGCAGCAACAAAAATAAACAAATGGGACATGATCAAATTAAAAAGCTTCTGCACAGCCAAAGAAACAGTCATGAAAGTAAACAGACAACCTATTCTGTAGAATGGGAGAAAAATTTTGCATCCTACAAATCTGATAAGGGGCTGATAACTAGAATATACTTAGAACTCACGAAAATCAGCAAGAGAAAAAACAAATAACCCTAATAAAAAGTGGGCAAAGGACTTGAACAGAAACTTTTCTAAAGAAGACAGAAGAATGGCCAACAAACATATGAAAAAATGTTCAACATCTCTAATCATCAGGGAAATGCAAATCAAAACCACAATGAGATATC